GCTCTTCTTTGGGGCTGTTCCAATAGGCGAATGTCTCGTTTTAACCCTGGACACCAGGCCTGAATTACATATTCAACGTGAGGGCGAATGTAGGAGTTAATCAGCAATGGTACTAGCCGTCGCTCAAAGGTGCCGAGAGCTCGCCTAAAAAATCTCAAGTTCAGGTTCGCCACACTTGCTGCTTTCGAACATTGGAGTGAATTGCCAAGACTCTTACACAGTTACACCTGTCGTGTCCACTAGTCACGTGTTGCATGACGTGTTGTCCCAAAAGGTCTGTGTTGACGAAGCTGCTGCGCACCGTCAGCAGGTGGCACTTTGCAGGGTTCAGTTGGAGCTGGTTCCTTTCTGCCCATTCGTTAATCCGAGTCAGATCTTCCTGGAGGTAGACACGGTCGGATGCTGAGAGAATTGCTCTCCATATTTTAGCATCGTCTACAAATATTTGCATCGGGGATAGAATGTCTGCTGGAAAGTCATTAATGTAGACTAAAAACAGTAGCGGGCCGAGGACGGATCCTTGAGGTACACCACTGGAGACTCACAGAGTAAGTGTCGGCTACTCTTACCTTGATTGCTCTGTCGTGTAAGTAGTCTTCTAACCAGGTGTACAGGGAACCGTTGATACCGTATGCAGCAAGCTTTTTGAGGAGAAAGAAGTGATTGACCCTATCGAATGCTTTAGAAAAATCCAAGTAAATCACATCTATGGGGACTCCTTCATCAGCCGCCCTGGTCCATGAGGCCCGAGTAATCAGCGAATTGGTGAGACAAAATCCTCTGCGTCTGAAACCATGTTGAGCATTAGAAATTATTTGTTGACTTTCAAAGTATCGCGTCAGTTCATCTGCAATTACCGATTCCAGCACTTTTGATAAAACAAGGAGAGTAATAGGTCGGTAGTTGGCAGGGTCCGATCGCTTAACTTCTTTGTATATTGGAGTGATCATTTCATTTTTCCACTCAGATGGGAGTGTATGGGAGTTAAGCAGACCCTGGGAGAAGGTTGCAAGTGGTGCTGCTATGGTGGGAGAAAGGGTTTTCAGTACTTTTGGGCAGATCATGTCGATTCCAGGGGCACTGTACTCCCGGAGAGACTGTAATTTGCTTGCAACAGCTGCTGGAGTAAAGATGACGCTGGATAAGCCAACGACATTTGTTGGGAGTTGATAGGGCGAAGGTTCCATGGTATTTGTAGCTACCGAGCCAAACTGCAAGAGTAGAGCGTTCGCGGCATCCACAGCAGTAGTTGTTAGGCCACTGGCCGTCTTGTGTGGTGGTATTCCGGTCTTAACCTTTCTTTTGCCATTCACAAGTCTATATAGTAGTTTGGTGTTACTCGTAAATTTCAGCACCATGTTCTCCTACCATTCGACTCTAATGAGCGACGTGCAGTAGTTTCTGCTGACTTTGTAATTCTGCCATGTGATATCACATGGGCTTAGGGAATGTTGCCTCTAGATTCCATCTCTTCTGTTGATCCATTTACGTGTTCTGCTCCGGAGCCACGTATTGGTCCGGCGCGATGCTCGTAATCGTGCAACCTTCGATGCCGATTGTATGACCCAGTTATGTGGCGAAATTCTACCTATACCATTCAACCCCCTACCACTCTTCTGTAATCAGTACACAGAACAAACTGTTTATAATGCCATAAGATAATTGGCGGCTTAAGTTTGTTAAGCTCGTCGCTTGGTGAGGGGGCTACCCTGTCCTCTGCACGGCAGTAACGTGTAAGTCAGTGGATAGTGAGCGGCGCTATATCACATCTAGTAACTTATTCACGATGGTCGTTGCCGTCCCCCGTATCTCAGTGGTCTCAACCAAGGACTGGCAACAGTCGAGTTGCGGTTTCGAGCCCTACCAAGGGTCCGATGGAATGCGCACTGCTGATGATTCCCGAAAGGATGAAACGCGCTACAGTGCTTTTCCGGGCTTGTGGCGGCTGTCTGAGTGAGCCTAGATGTGACGAAATTCTACCTAAACCATTCAACTCCCCTTACTACTCTTCTGTAACCAGTTAATTATATCTTTCAGTTTATTCCACGCGTCATTTGCTGAGCTGTGCGTCTGTAGGTCCCAGTCGACGGTTGCTGCTAAGTTGTGCAGCTTAAAATAGTCCGTAATAGTTCGTTGAGTTCCTCTTTCTTTAGAAACAATACTGGCATAACACACAACTAAATATTAGGACTGCATGGTAGCTGCGGCCCAGTGGAGGATCGTATACTACTGACTCAACCATCAACTCTTCATTAGTCAGGATTAAGTCCGGGCGTGATAGCTTGTTAGAACCGCGGTGTCTGGTTGGTCGATGCACATGGTTATACAAATCTGCCATATCCATGGATTCGAGCAGTTTCGATTTAAATGATGGCCCATTAGGGGACATTGATGCTATTGAAGGAACATTACAGTTACCCATTATAAGATAGTGAGAGTATTTTGTGAAACAGCATAGCGGAGGGCGTTTAACAGAATGTTATCTTTGTCTGCTGATGCGTTCGGAGGCCTATAGATAACTGCTAAGAGGCAAGCATCACTCGTCTTCTGTGAACCAACATTTCGACCTGCTAGGTGCAGTCAGCAAAATAGTGCGTCGGGAATAACAAGGGAATTTTCGGTAAGGGCCTCACATTTCAAGTTATCTCGATTGTAGACAGCAACACCACCACCGCGAGATGGACGATCATTTCGAATGAGTGACATCTCACTGAGTTCAATCTCTGGATCAAGTATGTCGTTTAAAAGCCAAGTTTCAGTAACTGCTATGTGGTCCCAAGTTGTTGTTTCACGTCGATGCCGCAGTTCCGAGAGCTTAGAATACAACCCCTGAGTGTTGGTGCAGCAGCATTGCATTTGTTGACGCATTAGAAGCTCGGTTCGTCGACACAAATAGTGCAGATCTGCTGCCGATTTTGAAACGGTTGGCTGATCTGAGATAGGTACAACTCATCTGTATCTGAGGTCTGTACTAATTGAAGCAATGGTCTTAACCGTACTTCTGGTGGCCCAAATTTCCTGTTTTCATGCCATGCTTGGATTGCCCCTGATACCATTTCGGGCGCAGCCAAGGTAACTTCCAGAATTCGTGGCCCGCTACCTTGGTAGTTTGTGGAGGCAGTTAGACGGGTGACGTCAAAAACTAAGACATTTTACATGTCGTATAGCTGTGTGATGTACCTCCATTCTTCGATGTCGTACTTCTGTCGTTCACTGCTGTCGTCATGCTTCGATTCTGGCACACCATGAACCAGTACCAGTTTCTTCATCTCATGTTGACGTGACGAACTAGGGTTGGATTTCCGCTTCTGTCTTTCTGCCCATGGCCTGTCAGGGAAAATGCGGGCACTGACAGAAGAGTTCACTAGAATGTGGCTTGCTAAGAGAACATCTCCCAGGTCGCGTGTGTTGCCAAACGTTACTCGCAGTAACCGAGGTTCCCCTAAGTGCGGAGATGATGGGTTTCGTGAAAGGCGTGTAAGACTAGTTGGAAGAACGTTCAGTCCGAGTGCGCAGGTTATTTCAGCCCAGCGGTTTTGCTCCTCAGCTTGTCTACCTTTTAGCGATTTGCTAGTGGGTTCTGGGGCGTTTGAACATATCACTGTCATCGCGTTTTGGTTGCGTAGTAATTGTTTGTTCTGCAGTTCCTTGTGAGCGTAGGTTTGTCGAGTGGGAGTGTCTGGCTTGTCCTCCATTCACGATAGGCCAAGGCTACAGCAAGACTACTTAAGTGCAACGCCTTTAGTTGCACTATCTGAAGGTGTCAATTGTTGTTGCCCAGCTACTGACGGAGGTGATCGTGCAATTTATGCGTAACTCTGCATGCTTTGGAGCATTACGTAAGACTTGGAAGACCGTTCAACCGGCCTGTTTTCACTGCTGTTTTTTACTAATGGTGTTTGCCTTTCGCTGCACTGTGTAGTACTGTTGCTAGAGATTTTTCCTTTTAACAGGTCTGGGATTCGGGCTACGTAATACATTAATCTGCAACTGGAGTTCTGAGATTTTCCCTCCCAATACCGCGATCAGTTCCTTTTGGTGTGCCGACGTAACAGCCGACGCTTCACACCTTATCGTAAGCGTTGGAACAATCTTAATTATCGGACTATCTGAACATAAGTCACAGAACCACAACCTATCTGTTGATACGCTATTAGTGTAATGTTCACATTTTATTGCGTCGTAGGAATTGGCACAGAACGAACACGTGATTTTCGAGGGGATCTCAGTTCCCCGCTTGTGTGTGCTACGACTGACATTGGGTTTGTTGCTCACTGGATTCTCGGTTGACGAACTTCTCCGGCCCATGGATCAATAGTCGGTATGCACGTTTAGTTTGCGCTGGTCACGCGGTTTGGGCTGCATCAGTTGTCTGCTCCGGTTAGCGGGTTTGGTGGTAGTGCGTCACTAGACGCACGAGTAGCCAAAATCACACAGGTTTTGTGCAGTGAAATGTACGCAAAAAATATGGTGGTAAGGTGTGATGAGAAAAAATGCATGTACCTATGGTATACAGTGTTGCACAGTACTAAGTTATATATTGTCTGACAGCCTTAAAGTATCTCTGTCGAATGGTATCCCAAATGTACTGATGAAACTCAAATAAGCAAACTTACTCAAGTTGGCCTTAGTGAATAGACTTTCGAAGATTTTGTTTGTGGTGTACCAGCGTGTTCTTGGACTTATTCCAAAAATATAGGCCTCGTTGAATAGAACTCAGTGATCCAAAACGATTGAGCGTACTTCCGACGAGGTGGCACAAGAATGTCAGGGGATAAGTCCAATTTAACATAGAGCACGGGATTGCACAATTAGCACGCACACGCTGATATGGTCAGCATCTAAAACACTGCACTACTATGATGCGTTTCTCATCAGATACAGTTAGCGGGCATCGAGCCCGGGGTCATAGGGATGGTAGTTGTGACCGCTACCCCTACATAGTCACATTGTCACTGCGCCGTTCTGTTTACAGGCTTACCGGCCCTCACGAAGTGCACATGCTTTTTACAGATACTCTTGTAGCACCGTTTTGTGTTCCACTTTTAGCGCGCTCATCCACCACTGACCATACTCTGTTTGTGCTTTTTTTCTCTTTGTTCAAGTGGTTGGATTTCGGGTCTGGCGGTGGTCAAAAGCAATCCGGCCATCGGTGGGATTGTTCTAGTCATCGCTTGTCTGTTTACAGGTCTGACCGTCGCGTCCGCTTTCTACCTGATACAGGTGCGTTTCGTAGTGTTCTCTTTGTCTATCTGCTGTTGTTGCGCGCGCATGCCCATGAAATCGGTTGGCACTCGGTTTGTCGCATATTTTCTTTCAGCATTTACTCCCTTTTCTTAGCTTGTTTTTGAGCACTGCTCATTTCGTGTTCGTTTGCAACTCAGCCCAGCCTATGGTATACGTCCACGAGACGTGAAAACATTTTCGCTTAAATTCCCTATACTTGTCATTAGACGAGGGACCAACGGCCAATTGTACCATTAAGTTGCGAGGAACGGGTTCGCATCTTAGCTGATCCTTGGTCATTGATAATTCATCTCAGATAATTGTTCCCAATCTGGGAGCAATTACCCGAAAATTGGTACAAGGGGATTTTATCAGTGGTAAAGTTGAGATCATTTCCCGGTCACGAGACCAAATCATCTGTATCACTAATGATTAGGCCTTGGTGACAAATCACCAGTGATTGCTTAGTGAATTTAACCATTTCTTGTAATAGAAGTTGTTAATTAACATACGAATACAAACCTGCAACGCAGCGCAACTAGATGGCGCATCTACCGACTTGCTCGTGGATTGTTGTTCGTTTGCGTCTGGCAGTCGTTCTCTGCCCTAAGGCTGATACCTGCATACGAGGTTGATCTCGCCGATTGGGGTCAACGGAAACAAAAGCAAGGAGCTTATTTGACTTAAAACATGACTTGCGGTGAGCATTAACGGAAACTGCGCAAAACTATAAACAAGTTTTGAAGTTAGGCAATATGGACCGTCCCATTCAATTACATTACCTCTTGATTTAATCACAGCAATTGCTCGGAACTATTTGTTTCCTTTGTTTGAAGGAAGTTCATTGAAAAAGGATTTATTCCATAATTTGCTTTTCAAAGTAAACTTTTTAAGGTGATTGTTTATATTGTCCCGCTCTAGTGGTAACAGCCTCATAAAAGTTTGGAACCACTTATCCAAGAACTAAACGTTGCTAACTAGTCTATCGTTGGAGCCGAACTGGCTTGAGCTCGCTGCGACAAATTCATTCGGACGACAGGAATATGACATTGAGTTTTGACCAAGTAACTGGCGCCGAATTCAGAAAACAAATTATAATGCAGCGAAGCATCCAAATAGGGGTACGGCGGGGGCGCAGTGAACCAAAAGGGAAATTAGCCCATGCACGGCTTTGTACATTTTTCTGATTTTTGTGTGCATCTCACGTGTCAACTCTAGCCGGTCTTCTCAGTTGTTGGATGCACTGTACAATTCCAACCACTGGAGTTGCATGCTATCAGGTAGAACTATGCATACCTCAGCTCGAACTTCTGTTGTCCACATATTTCTTGTATGGATATTGTCACTTCTCGAGCACTGCTGCTGTTACATTAACTGTGTTTGCGCGGGTACAACACCACTACCTCGCTCTGAGAATACTTCCGTTAGGTTGAGTTGGTTGGTTCCGATATGTGCAGGAATGCGCTCAGTGGGTGTTTCCAAATTACTGTGAAGATAAGTGTTTCCTGAGACTCGGCGGATTACGAGTAAAAACTTCGGCTGGTAGATGAATATTGGTTGTTACCCGCCGGAAAACACCGCACTCCACGACACGTTTCGAGCTTTTTTGTTTTCACCAAGTAAAGATAACAGGCAATCAGCCCTCAGGGTCTTTGATACCTTAGCTCGTTTTGCTTTGTAGTCTATACTTTTCCAGTTCGCGTCACGGTTCTGCGATCTCTGCTTGATGAGAACAGATGTGTACCAACCGGTCGTGAAATGCAATCTTGTGAGCCTCAACCATGGTCTTAGTGATGGGATTGACCTGTCACAAACATCGGTCCTTCAGAAAAAAGCGGTTTGTTTAACGAAGGTAAACTAGCGAGATTACTGTGGATTTGACATGCCGAAGATAACGAAATTAGTAGGCTGTGTGCTTCCACACGCAATGACGTTTTGTGGCGAATGAGGTTCCTCCTTTGACCCGGTTAAACAAACGAAGTGGGACTCACCGTAACACATATGTACAACCAGCGTCCGATGACGAAATCCGTGAGGTTTGACTGCCTTGTTTTTCGGATCCATTCGTACACTGATAGGACGTTCAACTCACGCGACCGCGAGGTTCATTTAATAGTGAATCGCGGTGCGGATTGAGAATGGGTGTGGTAACCGTTTCACACAGCGTATGCTTCAACTGAGCTCACGCTGGGTCCTTGTTAGGATTCACACTATAGACAAGCGTCAGTGGGGCTCCTCTGTGGAAAAGATATCCGCCGGCTCGTAGTCTTAAGAATCACAGGTCTGTCTTGTAATCCGAGGTCGCGGGTTCGGGTCTGCATATGGACCGAGCGACCTTCGCCGTATCCTTAGACCACGTGCGATTGGTGGTAGTTGCGCGGCAGCGAAACCTCGGTACGCACTATCGACGTACTACTTATACGTTTGTTTAAGACCAGTGCAACTATACCTTTTCTCAGTCAATTGAATCCATAGCGTTTTTAAATTCTTCCTTAAGGAGATCATGTTCCTCTTTAAATCTTTTAACATGGTCCATAATGCCTTCAAGTTGAATCCAACGGGCGCAGACACTCCTAAACATTACGTGCTGTTTGTTGAGTGACTAATCTCAAATAAGCAGATATTATGACAGATGTGCACACAGGGTGGGATGGTGTTGTCTGATTTGGATTTGATTACTCAATAAACCGTAGCATTTAAGTGCGTTCGTGCCCCATGGATTCAACTTGAAAGCGTTCTGAACCATCTTGAAAGATCAGTGGAAGAACATGCTTTCCTTAAGGAAGAATTTGAAAGTGCTATCGATTCAATTGGCTGAGAAAAGGTGTAGAGGCCGAAACATAACCGCTTTTGAACGTAAACTTGATCTAATCTAGCTTATTTTGCAGTAGCTTCGGTAAATCGCAAAAGGTGGATCTATATGACGCAATTTGATCCGGCGAAACAAAATGGGCTTATTTCGATGGCATACCCTTTATACATATTCGCCTACGCCTTTCGTGAGCATGAAGCATTTGAACAGATTGATTGGCTTCCTACTGCCCGCCTTCTTGCACCATTATCATAAGACAAGCTGCGATTAGCCGAGAGTTAATCACTTACCTTCGCAAGAAAGGCGTTCCCCGATGCGCAACTTGGGGACGCACCCAGTGCGGTACAGCTCCCCTGAACCAACTGGTGGTCGGTTCACTTCCGTTAATGGTGTTGAACTATACCTTCTCAACCAGAGGATCACCATTATCAACAGCAGTATACCAGCCAGATAATCGCAAAAGGCAAGTGAATGGCGTCTCTACCGACGCACTTTTGTGTCTTAGGGTAATTCAATACAAGTTTTCTGGATGCGGTCAGATCACCACCATCTCTCGCTATTTTGTGTTTTTCTGAGTCTGTCATAATAAACCAAACAGCATATACCGTAAGCACCGTTGCGTGGATAAATGGCGGCACGTAATCGCAATTTGAATCGCGTTTCCCTTGAATTGAAATTACGACATTTCTGTTATCTGAGCTGTATCTGAAACAGCCGCTGCCATCTCTGTCTTCAGACGCGATCCTAGTAACCGAACTAAGATTCATTTCGGAGTTAATCGCGGTCTAAGTTTGGACTGATTCTGGCAGTCTATTGATGTAGCTTGTATATTTGTGTATATATTTCTCATAATGCCGGGTAGCCGAGCCCGCAGAGAGACGGATAAAATTACAAAATTTTATCACACTCATTCATGTGAAAAACGTAAAGTTTGGCTCAACCTTGTGGGAGTGTTTCGTTGAAGCAAACAAGTGGGCAATTTTTCTCCTAAATTTTCCCAGCCGTTCCAGATCGTCCTGTTGCAATATTTCAACGCACAGTGGTTCACCCTAATAATCGTAGGATGGAAGGTTAAAAAAACATGGTTATATATATATATATTTATATATCACAATCTGTGTACAGATATTGTGCGATCGGGACCATGGCGAAATAGGAAAACTTCGTTGGAGTAAAAGGAGAAAGAAAACAAACAATTTTTTCGTCAATTTTTCCATTCACAGTTTTTTGGTTTTTTTGTTTCTTTTATTTGGGGGAGGAAAGCGGAATCGCCGCAACAAGTAGAAATACATGCTCGCCGCTGAGTTCGTTTCCGAGCCGTGACTTCCAACGTTTCCAACCAACTGCACTCAGCATCCTTGGGACCCCATCCAGGGAGTCGCGATGAACCAACCTTGGCCAGCTTTTTCATCCTGCTTCTCTAAGTTGTAGGCTGTCCACCACACCGCCTCCTCCAACCCTGTCCAGCGACCGCAAACAAGGCACGATGTTTAAGACGCTGAGCGGACATATGCAGTACGTGTCCCAGCTATCGTAGTTGGCACAACGAGACAAGCACTTCGAGTGAGTGGCTGTCTCCACTCAAGACACGCTGTCTGGCTTCAGCGTTGCTTTCGTTGTTCAACCACCACACACGGACGATGGACCTTGTATGGATGACGCTATGGTATTGACTACTAGAATGTGCATTTATTATAGGCAACAAATACGTTTTGAAAGATTTTCCATAAATGCCTTTGACGAGTGACCTTGATTTCACTGTTTGACGGTCTTCTGATACGCTAGACAAAGTGAATGAATAATATTTAAAATATATACTGACAAGAGATGTAAACATAAGGATCAGTTGTCCATCCTATCATTACACCATTAGTTCCACAAACACCTAGTGAGAATTAGAGCATAGAACAAGTGCAATTTACTGCTGAGAAGAAAGCTTATGTTAGGTATGTCGTTACAAATTTCCTTATACGTAACTGGCCTAGTTGGCATGAATTTCGCTGACACACGATGACCTTTCAGGTCGGTTTAATTTGCTATGCAGGCGTAATGGCCGAGATGACGATAACAGTTGCAGACTAATCTGAATGTCCTAGGTACCAATCTACTCCGAACCAAAACTAGTGACGATAAGCGCCCTCGCGAGGCCTGGTGATTAAGTTGCGAAAGCGTCTACCGGTAATTTGTAATTCCCCATTTCCATAATCACTACCGTACTAGTGTGACTGTGAGCAGATTGGGGTCTTTTACGAAAATATTAAAGACGGGCCATATCACTTTCCCTACCAGGGGACTGTGCTTCCACCGGTGGGACGATTGGACAGAGGTTTTCTCTTCATCGAAATCCGGTCGGCCATTGTCAGTAAGAGACCCTCTTGGCCTCCTTCGGACGTATCTCTCACGTAAAAAGCGGGTTTAACACACCGCCGTTGGGGCGGTGTTATTATGGGAAAGCTACTCCTAACCAGCTCGCGTGAATGATATGCGCCGGTTTCCCTTCTGCGACACTGGTTGTTTGAGGAGAATCGCTATTTTCTGGTAGCAACATCGATTTTGCACTGATGCAGTTACGCGCTGAGTCCGGCGGATTGTGAGTATTCCCTTCAACAAGCTGGTTCTGTTGTGCCAGTGGGAAATCTCTGTCACAACTTACGCATGTTCTGTGATCGTTTGTCGAACCGTCCTTTATTCCCTCACAAAAGGCTGGACTGAAACAGATCGCATGGTTTTCAGGCTTCCATCTGGCAACAACACATAAAATGGCTGGCCTCACGTCTAGCCGCCGTTGAATCCTTGCGCCTTCCGGGCTGCTAATTCGTAGACGAGGGATGCGCATGATTGGAAACGCTACAGTTTATGACGCACAACCGAAATCATTGGACGATTAGCCTACATATGAGTTTAGAATCACATGTTTAATAGGTACATCCTTGATAATGAGGAAATCAAAATCGGTATTTGGGTAACCAAAAAAATACGAACTACAAGAAACGTAAAATTAAATATGTCATATCATTTCACCATACCAATCACTCAAACCTAGTACAACTGAAAGAATTGGTTGCCTCCACAGATTTCAGTTTGTTTTTTGATGCAGATTTCTCAACATGTTGTGACCGGATGACAAGTTCTCCGAACTTCTGTTTTAATCTCTACTGTCCGATGAGAACTACTCTCCTTCGTGCTGACCGGTTCTCCTCACCACTCCTCAAGCAGCTGGATCGACTTAAGGAAAGAGCCTTCATAGTTAATCATCTTGCCTCAGTAAAGTTTCTTTCTCTGCTCATTAGTGAAGAAATTCGCCACGTCAATCATGCCCATGTCCAGAGAATTCTAGGGAACAATAATTGCCTTGAGATTTGGCAGATGATGAACCAATTTAGTGGAGTTGCTCATCATCGTAGGGACTCTGACAGACACAATTTCTGCTGCTCCAGCGGCGACTCAATCCCCAACTCGTCATTTGCACAGGTCCAGTGGTTTGCAGACTGATCACTGGTTGTTGATGTTACAGTACTTCACATGAAACTTGCCCAGTTAAAATCAAGCTGACCTGACCGGTCGCCTCCCTTCGTCCTTACGGAGGGTGCAGATTCACTTACCTAACCTCTAGCTGAGTTGTACACCATATGCCACAACCAAGGCAAGATCGCAGACTGTTGGAAAGCTGCTAGCGTAACAACAACAACAATACCGAAGAAAGCGACAGATAAATATCGACCTCTGCTTGGTTCGCGACGTATTGCCAATAAGCTCACAGTATCTGTCCTGGTGTTGCAGATTGGCTCACTCACTCGCCACTTCCTCATGAACTGAAGTATCTGTCCTCCCGAGGTTTCAAAGGGCGATGGTAAATTAATCGTGGCTTCTACTTTCTACGAAAATTACACTACTCACAAAAACCACCAGTAATTTACCATCGCCCTTTGAACATCAGGAGGACAGATACTTCGGTTCATTGGGAAGTGACGAGTGAGTGAGCCAATCTGCAACACCAGGACAGATACTGTGAGCTTATTGGCAATACGTCGCGAACCAAGCGGAAGTCATGTACTAAATCGCGCACCTGATCGTCAGTCCTCGGTAGCTCAGTTGATAGAGCAGCGAACCGGTAATCCGTGTGTCCGGGGTTCGATTCCCTGTCGAGGCAGATTATTGTGCAAGTTTAATCGTGGCTTTTACTTTCTACGAAAATTACACTACTCACAAAAACCACCAGTAAATATCGACCTATTGCGTGCACTTCGGTGGCTTTAAAGGTCTTCGAGAAATTCATACCGAAGTTCGAGGTCGGCACAAGACACAGTGACCTGTCTAGTGCCCTCAGTGTTATCGTCGCTAGACATCAGGAACAAAGTCACATGTGTATGCTTCCTTGACTACACCAACGCCTTCGATTGTGTTAACCGTGAAATCTTGTTGCAAGATCCTGCTCTTGGTATCCAACCACCCATATCCTTCTTTCTACAGGATTATTTTGCCAAACCTACTCAGACAAACAGGTTCAACAGCATGAGCTCCTTGCCTCTTATCACTACTTCCGGTGTCCTTTAAGGAGCCATTCTCATTCTCTACCTACTTTTGCTCCATCCCTTTCTGTGAAGAAGCCATATTGCTAAAATACCCCGATGACGTACTAATCGGCGCGAATAATCTAACTTCAGCCTTTTCGACCGTGCTAGAATGTTGTTTGGATAAAATCGTGCATTGGTCAAACTCCCGCCGTTTGACACTGAATGCTTCCAAGTGCAGTGATGTACTGTTTTCGCTGCATAAGGTAGATGGTTACCAGAAACTCGTCGCTGACTGTCACCAACTTCATCATCAGTGGTGAAAGTCTGAGCTTCTCGACGTCAGTGAAGTATCTGGGAATCACACTGAGCCATGATTTATCGTGGTCAAATCATGTGAAAGAAGTATTAACCGAAGTCCGGCGACTGTCCTTTTCTCTCTCACGTCTTCTTTCGTCCTCACTCTCCCACCAGTTGATCCTGCGATTCTTGACTGCATGTGTTCTACCACATCGGGCCTACTGTTCTCCTGTGATCTTTCCGGGCATATTGGCATTTCAAACTACTTGAAATGTCGCGGAAACACATATATCGATGCAGTGGCATTACTAAACCAATCTTCGTTCAACACTTTGTATCTGTTCACTTTAATTCATGCGCAAAACTTACTTCGAAAATACTCACTGATATCAGCTATCCTTTGCATGCTTTATCCAACTGCAAATCTAGTTCCTCAACACGACGAAACTACAGAGTCATATATGCCTGCCCGCGGGCCTACATCTCATCTGCCATACCTTATCTAGTTAGATTTCTGCTTAATCCGCAAATTGTCATCCAAGTAGTAAACAGCACACGAACCATTGTTTTAGCTGCCGTCTTTTACTGTTTTTGCATGTATTATATTGTTTTTCCTAACCGTTTCGATTGGGCGTGTGTTATAGCTGTAAGTGCACCCTTCATGTGTGCATAAAACCGAATTTTCGACTTGACTTGACCTGACTTGATCACCGGTCTCATGCCGCTTTCTTAGTTAGCTAGTCAGTTCTCGCTGAGTGGGGCGATTTACATGCCGTAGTGCGCGTGTTCCCTCAAGACCAATACCGTGCGTCAATCGGTCCGCTTACTCGTGTGCCGGTCGAGTAGTGTGCGCACGTTGCAGCACCCAACCTTAGTCGCTTTACGCAGAACCGTACGGTTGCAGTAAGAAACCCCTCTTGCTTTGACCTGGATTAGAGGAAGTAGTGGGTTGGGTGAAATTGGAACGGGGAGAGTATGTGCAGGGGAAGAAGAATGAATGGAGGCGCCAGCGGTTGCATGTTTTCGCTTATCCACCTCACTGTATGCAGCGGGTAGGGCAACTCTTTTCCTGGTGTCACTGCGCGGCTGCTGGTCCAACATGGGATTATTATTATTATTGGCGTGTTTCATGGTTAGGGTTTATACTAGAATACTACCAGGTCACCCACACTTGACAGGAGAACGACTCGGGTCTTCAACCAAAGTCTACGGCATGGTACACAGCCCTAGCCAGACTGGTGATGGTAGCGTGAGAGCGAAGCATCGGTACAGTGTGCCGGCCTATTGGTGATACCTTAATCAGACTGAACTTTTTGCAGGTAAGATGATACATTCTATCTTTATGATCATGGCTGTTCTGGCATGCCTCGCGTAGTCGAGAATACACACTTATTGTTTTATAATATTACAGTTGATTAATGAGGACAAAAATACTTCAGTTAAAGACGGTCCGCTGATAAAGGGCTATCCTGCTATGCTACCCTTGTCAAGTTCCACATCATATTAAAGACACTGTTCGTATAGTCCTACTGGATAATCCTACCATTGTTCACTTGACTGACCGCCCTTAAAGTTTGGTTAGACATGAAGATTCTTTGGTTGTTTATTGTCACAATCAGCGTCACCATGCATGCTTCTGATTGTGAAAAAGACTATGCTCGTGCGCGTCCTGCATCCATCGCAGATGGGGTTCAATCCACTCTCGGCGATGACTTTCCAATAGTTGCCCGATTGCACAGGTTCACACACACAGTACGCGTAGCTGGATGAGGTGACAGGGGCGAGACAGGGCAGCAACATTCCTGTCCATCCCGGTGGATTGTCATGCATACCAGACGTGCAAAATGCGGTGGCTGGACCGTAGCCCTCTCCACACAGGGTGCGTGGAACCACTAATTGAGCTTGACACGGCCGGCAAGTTTATGACTTGAAACCTATTATTAGCATTCTGTTTTAGCATATGCATGTAACCATAAAGTTGCTTTTGCCCAAACCACGTTAAACGAACCTGCTCCTTTCGTTTCTCCAGGTGCATCACATTTACCGAACTACCGGAGCTAGCTTCGGAAAAGCGAGGGAGGAATTTGCGCGCGGCGTCGTATCTGATCCAACCGTGCGGGCCACTGCTGTTGAGGCAGGTCTGTATGCCACTCGCCAGTCCTCTGCGGGATCTAATTGATTGAAGTGCTGTCTGTTTGCACGCAGCTAGGAATCGTAACAGCCAGCATCACTTCCTTGCGATTTCGCAGAGCTCTGAAAGGGGTCACCATTGTTTGTGGTTGTTGGTGTTGTTCTCCACCTGATCTACTTCGTCATAAAACCCACTGATTTTACACCCATATTCTGACTTGTCACGTTTTCTTTGTAATCGGGCACTTTTCCTGTGGCTCCATATTCACAATACACCATTTCCGTCAGATGAATTGTCTTTGTGCATCTTATCCTGGAAACGTGTTGGCATTCCCCTCCATGGGAAAGTAATCTTGCGGCACGGAAATTCCACTTCTTTCCTGTTAACCGTGCACATTGGTCCTAAGTTGAGTCCCCTACTCCGGCTTATCCCTCCGATATCCTTGTAAGCGCTTCATCCCAGACTCATAGGGGCGGCCATGGCGTTCCATCTCATGCAGTGCCTTTAGAGCTGTGCTTGTGTTTCTCAATTTGCTTCCTTCGCCAATTCTGCTGGCCTCCACCAGCCATTAGGTTTTCTGTTTTCACTTCTTGGTAACAAAATAATGGACGTTCCTGCCACCACTTACTCCGCGCCATTAGGAAGTGCTGTTATGCAGCTGAACTTGTGCTGATCCACCGAACCACGGATCCAATGTGGGCAGATCTCATGTCACCGCTTTCTGTGTTTAACTGTATTTGGGGTAGTATGTACCTCGGCTGGATGAGATGAGGTTGCTAACCCGGATTTCGGATCACATTCCCAGTGATACTACATGACCTGTTAGCTCTGTTGTCCGGCACTTACTCGATTATCTGATGTCTGAAAACTCCCGTAAGTCATTCAAGGTCGTCAACCGATAGAACAATTCCTGGTTGTTGCGTTTTGCTGCGGCTCATGTCCTCCGGCGTTTTAAGCCTAATATATACGAACAGCTTGACTTTCAAGTCAACCTTGCTCTGTGTTGATAGGGTGCGACAGCTTCGCTGGCACAACTAACCATTGATTTCTGGCATTTATCCATCATTCCCAGCGGTTTGAAGTTTTCATTCATTTCTTGCTGAGATGAGCAATTCCCAACCATTCTCTACTTTGGACGGAATCTCTCATAACCGGTCAACACTGCATCGCCACGGAAATCCTTAAAGTCATCAGGCGGTGGTCTCATCCTCTCAGGACTCGTCCTCATTGTGCTTAGTTAGGATCTCGAAATCGCTTTTGGATTACGGTGTTATTGGTGGTCGATTACGGTGGTAGCCAGTATTTTGCGGAGCGCAGGCGACACAGTGTCTGGTCAGAATACAAACCGTACGCAACCCTAGTAAATTTACCACCGGTGAACAAGACAATCGATTCGGATCTGCACGAGAACAAAGTGCTGCAGACAAGGGGATTGCGAGTGAACGGCATGCATTCGCTAAGCGTTTCTCTCAATGGTCTTACTGTCATGGTGATCAAGCCGTCAGACTAACCACTAGGGTCCCAAGCTCCAACTTAGGCTACCTCCATCTGATAATTCTAAACGAGGACGAAACAATTCATGGGGTGTTGATAGGACAACAGCAAAACACCTCCAATCCGCCATTGAACGTAGGTTGCTGACGCTAGATGCGATGTTTGTTGGCCAACCGGGCGAACGGAGTCGACGCGGGTCAAGTGGACAGAAAGCGCATGATGTTCTGCTCGCACGCGCTTACCAGATTTGCTGAGGCCAGACCGCCAACAGAATGTGTGCAGCCTGGAATGAATGAAATAGCGTGGACCCAAACGGGGCTGGTGACGGTTGGATAGAGCGCGACGGATGTGCGGTGCTCTCGGGCCACTGATCTAGATCGAACTTCATCGGCTGGAAAACTAGACACATCTGATGAAAAACCACTACGATGGGGTAGCATTTTAATTTTATACTACGCTTCATGAATAGCAATCGTACTTTGTTGTGACATCAACTGGATTGATTAATTAGTTGTGTTGTGAGGCGGACCTCCCTTCTCTGGCTTGCACCATGCCAATCACTTGTTGTATGCGCCTCGGATGCTAATCGGTAGCACTGACACGTAGGAGTCATGCCAAATACGGAACGGTAGAGAGGATAGATGCAGCTAGACTTCGCGTACTTCGTGAAGGCTACGATGAATGAAGAACGTGAAGCAACGTGAGGCTCACTCACCGAGAGGAAAGTGTGTAAAAGATGTGTAGTCAGTAACGCAAATGGACCGTCGGAAAATACAACGAACACTGAAAGAGCACATGTTCCTGGTTCACTACAAGTCCATTACAGCTGTCATCACTTCATGGCGCTCACCTCAAGCTTTTTTTGTGAGTTTAACCGGTAGCGAATTTGAAACATTCACTCTTTCAGCGCTTTGCAAGATTGAGTTTTATTGCTTCCTTTATCTTGTGACCGTTCATTTGTTTGACTCATAGTAAATCGTGATCACTTGCTCTTCCCGTTGAATCGCGCCGCTCTCACTTGCCTGCTATCCATTCCTCGCGGCTCTTGTCAATACACATTGGGTCCAGCCATTGTTATTGTACTCAGTATTCCCTTACTCGGTACGCATTTTACGTGTCATCGCTTTCGATCAATACCTGAGTAGCACCCCAAAAGTCACATCAGCGGTTAGTGATACTTTTTAATATCGCGCCGCCGCGAAGTCGACGGCGCTCCGAGATACTCATCGATTCTAGCTTTATCTACAACGATGCGGTCCGGATGTCAACTTGCGCTGGCCAGGTAGTCCAAGATATCTAACACAGTCCGTCAGAGATGTAGCGGGGCCGGGCGGCATGTGACAGTGGCGGCATTTTTAGTACCGCGGATTGTTCGATCCCAAATATAAACAGCAAAATTCCCAAATAAGCTGAGGCTTGAGTATTAACGTTGCTCGATGTGACCAACAACACTGTCTCGCCGAGTCACACCTGTGCAAGCCTTCTTCCCATCGATCCCCCTACTTGTCTTACACATACTACAGATGTTAGCTAGAGGTGAGAAATATCTCACCTACTGTGCCGCAAAACCTAAAAAAGGGAATAAAATGCAACAGGTGCAAGCCAGTTGTGCTACCGGTAACGGATGGGCATCATTCCGGTGAGCTACCTGCCGGCTACTATGCAACAGAAAAATATAATTTATTATGCAAAATTATAAAATACTAAATAATGAGATCGTGGTTGGAGGAGAACAGGGTGGGACGAAGAAACTCACTGCACGAGCGCCACTGAGGTCGGCTCCTAGCCATATCCACAAGTGTATCCAGCCAAAGGTGTTCATCGTCGTTCGGACCCCATTGTGGTTACTTTCACCACATTTACCTTAGTGTCTCAAGCGATCATCCATTTCATCGAAAACTACCTTGAGCCGATTGTGTGGCCTTCACGTGCCCATTCTGCCATCAGTCAGGGCGAAAATTTTACCACCGCCCCGGACGGCAAACTTAGTTGGTACGCCACTGCAGTCTGTACAACCTCACCTTACCATTGCGGAACCATGTATGGCATTCAAGCCAAGGATGCACTCATGATGGGGAAATTTTCATTAGTAACAAACGTACTATCGACAAAATAAGTGATTTACTAACGCCAGAATAAAAAGAAAAGGTCAATGCAAACTAAAACCTAGTACCGCTAAGCGTGTAACGCACGCTTCCGAGACACGTAATCCCAGCAAGCAGAAGACGTCTGAACAGCAGGAGGATTATCAATCAATTGAGGAATGTACAAGACTCACGGAAACTCGTGTTGCGAGACCGGGGGCATGTGTCAGATGATTGGCTGGCTGGTGTGAGTGGTAACCAATCCGCGCACAGCTGAAGTAAACGGATCGAAGTCATTCGCATACGTGACATCCCCTCATCTCTTGAAATGTTTATACTCCTGGCACAAAACGGTCAACGGGTTTATGCGTACGCTGAGATCTACGAAGCGATGATGCATCTGATGATTGTACAGAATCCTGTTGGGTTGCTTCTGTTTCCGGCTGAACCGAAGCTGATTCACCCAGGCGTTCATCTGCTGTTGTCCTAACACAACGTGAGCCTATGTGGTCTGAGTGTCGCCGTACTATCCGACCATTTAATTCGTGATCTGCTTGGGTACAGTCACCTTTAATTACGGTTGCGGATTGCCAGCAGTGCTCATGGGGAAGTCATGTGTATACGGGATCACTCGGCTGCCAACTAGAGTCGTGGTCATCTTGCGATGCGGCAGCCTTGTCTTGTTTTCTCTCCATTTATGCTCTATGATTTGGAAACAGAAGATCCAGTCGGGTACGGAATGTTCGGCCAAACAGGTGGTTTACCGGTGGCTTCCGTTGGCATTATCCTGTAAGCAAACAGCGAACGATCTAACCTCGTCTGAACAGTTCCTGGTGCTTGTTTCGACAGACGTCTTTTAATTGTCTGCACCGCCCTTTCCGCTAGCTCATTAGAAGCAGGGTGATATGGAGCTGTACGGACGTGCTGGACACCATTTCTATTCATGAAGATTTCAACTTCTTTGCTAGTGAAACATGGCCCATTGTCTGTGCAGTGTCTCTGGTATCCCAAATGATGACCGCATTTTTGAGATAGTTGTCTCTGTACTAGGGTGCGAAACAGGATAAACATCTATCCATTTCGAATGAGCGTCAATTAGCAGCAGGAAAAATACACCGTTAATGCGTCCAAAGTAGTCCGCATATATGCGCTGCCATGATTTTTCAGGCCAACGCCAATGGTGTACCGGACCGGGAGATTTATTTGACTGATACTGCTGACACAAACCACATGTTTTTAGATAGTTCTCTATTTCTGAATCTAGGCCAGGCCACCAGCAATAACCGCGCGCCAAAGCTTTCATTCGAGCTACGTCTGGATGTGCGTTGTGGAGTTCGTTTAGGATGAACGGC